AGGAAAACCAAATTCCTGATACTGAGATTATACAGGTACAATATTTAATAATTTATTTTGGTGTTTTATCAGTGTACAAACAACCCAAAGTTTGGGCCCATCCATATCCCAAATTATATAAATATATAGCATTTATGTTGTTCATGCACTGAGAAACTACTAATATCTCTCTCCAATTCAAAATGATATATTACTGAGTTACTATAGTCAAGAAACTAAGTGAAGTTCTCATATTTAAGGTGACCGGTCATAAGAATTTGATGAGTCTGAACACATATGATGAGCTTTCAAATGATCGCATGAGAAGAATGAGTGGTATACTTTCTGGTGGTGAAAACAAAAAAGCAACTGGCCCTATTTCTCCCAATAGTGGTGTATCAGGTCTTCTGTCAGGTTCTACTATTTCTGGTGGGACCTTCAACATCACTGTTAATGCCTGTCAGTCATCTACATTGTCACCAACTTGGTCCTCGACAACCAACATTCAAGCAGCAAAGCGAAAAAGAGTGATACTTGAATCGGATTCAGAGGATGATTGACTTTACATTTTAAGTTTGTTTTTAATTTGTTAATTTAAGTACTATCTGACAGTGTTGACTTTTAAATACCTGTTTGCATGTACTCATATATTTTTTTAAATATTGGAGAACTGTTAGATGTTAATGTTCTATTTAATATTTTGTATTTTATTTGTTAATGAATATTGAAAATTACTTATTAAAACAATTTTTTTTAGAATTATTGTATTGGGGCATTAATAATTATTAATATAATTAATAATTAATTATAGCTATATATTATTAACTCTGATCCTGATAAAGGCACAAGTATGTGATAAACAGGTTATCACAATCGGGACGAGGTGATATCAGTTTTATCGCTTTCAGGATGATATCATAAATGTCCCTCGTTCGCTGTGCTCACTCGTGACATTTATGATATCGTCCCTCAAGCGATAAAACTGATATCACCTCGCCCCTCATGTGATAACTTATACATATATATATATATATATATATATATATATATATATATATATATATATATATATACACCCATTTGCAAAAACGTTGGCCGCAGATAGATAGATAGATAGATAGATAGATAGATACTCGAAATCTAATTAGAATTGCATATGTTGTGTAATATGATTGAAATCCCATGCAAATGTAATCATATGCAATTCTAATTAGACTTCGAGTATCTATCTATCTATCTATCTGCGGCCAACGTTTTTGCAAATGGGTGTATATATATATATATATATATATATAATATATATATATATATATATATATATATATATATATATATATATATATATATATAATATATATATATATATATATATATATATATATATATATATAATTTAATGTTTTCATTACAATTTTTGAATGAATAAGTTGCTACTTCAAGTTTCATGCAACAAGCAATCATCAGGCAACATACTAATTACGGTTAAGATGAAGTAGCAACTAATTAACAACTTGATTAGCAACTTGATTGAAGTAGCAACTTATTCATTCAAAAATTGTAATGAAAACATTAAATTAAATGCTCTACAAAATTGTCTTGTATTGAGCACTTTCTATTCTTAAAAGCGAGAATATTACATTATAATATATATATATATATATATATATATATATATATATATATATATATATATATACAACGTTTAAGAAAGCTATTTACACATAAAAACTACAAATTTGTTTCGAAAAAACTCTAAAGTGAGTGCTCTCTCGTCAGGTCTAAAGTGTGCCAGCTAACTTCGGTCTTATTTATACTCTTTCGCTACACGTTCTTTAATAAAAGCTTTCCTCCGTGACGGCATTTGTTAGCAAGTTCATTTCTACTGTTTAATGTACCCATGTGGGGTTTGCAAATGATAAAAAATTTCTCAGTAATGCATAAATTACATCGCTTGCTTACATTTGTATGCGGTTGTGCTCTGGCGATAATTTTCCATGACAACTTATAGCTGACACCTTTGTCCTTTTGTTCCCAAATATGCTTGCTCAGTTGCGTCGCATTCCTTTTGTTTTTGTCCCTAAACGATGCTAAGTGGTTGGCGTATCTGGTTTTAAACTTGTTCTGCGTCAATCCAATGTATGTTTCTTTTTTTGTGCCCGTCTCCACTGTTGCTTGGTAAATTACATTTGTTGTTAAGCATTCTCCGTCCAGGGGACACGATGACCTATCCCTGCAATTACATGATTGATTTTCTTCCTCTTTCCCATTGGTCTTCCGTAATAACGCCTTGTTGTGGTTACTGATCTTAGCTTGTAGGTTGGGCATGCATGAGTAGCTTAGCTTTAAAGTATTCTTATTAAAAATTTGCCTGAGTGGGTGGCCATTTGCGAATGTTCCTCTGACAATCGATAAAAACTTTTGCCCCACATTAGTTGCTACGTGCTTGCTAAAAGGTGGGTTATACCATGTTACATTACGAGCTCGATTTTTCGTTTTTTGCATTCCTTCTCTCAGATGTTTATCATACTTGAGGGTATAATTATATCCGCTTTTATGCAAGGCCTGTTGGTAAGTGGGTGCAACTGCGTCGAAAGACTGCTGGCATGACGACGTCTCATTAAGGCGTTGGTTGATTGCTATCGGGATATTCTTTAGGATTGCAGGTGGGTGGTTGCTTTCGCGGTGGACATAAAGCGGTATGTTGTTTGGCTTCACGTATGGCGTGTATGATCCGTTGGCGAGGTTCAACGTCACGTCAAGGAAATTAACGATTTTTTTATTTGCTTCAATTGTGATCTGGAGTTGGTTATTTGCAAATACTTTACAAATTGTTTTCTTAATTTCCTCTATCTTTCTCGCTGTTGTGCGGAACGCGGCCTAACCATCGTCTCTGTACAAACCAATACTATCCCTGCGGATTGTTTTTGGGAGTTGACATAGCAAATACGTCCCAACTAACTCGCAAACCTCTGCGCCATCGTAGGATCCCATTGTCACATCAAATGAGTCCGCGGAGTTTTTTTTAGACCAAGCATCTTCATTATTAAACAATAGCGATTGCTTAGTGTGCATAATAATGCCTTTCTCGTCAGGTGTTATGTTGGTAAACGATGCAGCGAAATCAAGGGCTTTGTGAAGGAGTTCACAAGTGATAGATGGATAAAAATTCACGATGTCAAACGAGACGAAAGAATACTGGCTTTTGTTTGTGATAGCGTTGAACCAGTTCAAAGTTGCTTTAGTGCTCTTCCACTGCTGTACACCAGTTTGTTCAATCACCGCACGGTTTATCCTGTCCAATATGTGTTTACTAACTCTTCCCAGCTCCGACTTTGTGGGATTTATCAAACGACATGATGGGTTGCTTAGGAAATTATCCTTATGGTCTTTTAGGGTAATGAATGCGTTCCTACGGGGGAGTACTTCGACTCTATCAGCTATGCCCAACTTGCATGCGATTTGCTTAGCTTTAGCATTGATGGATTTTTCTGCATTCTGAGGGACCTTTTTGTATTCCTTCTCGATACTTTTCTTCAATAAACCTTCATACTCGCTAGTATTCATTTTATAATAGTTCGTCGATTTATCTGCCGGTATAAATAAGTTGGTGTCATCTCTTCTTATGTCACGTATATGCTTCGCCAAAGAGTTTTCAAACTCAGTCGGGTGCATCTTTCTGAACTCAATGTTGTGTATTAACGTAGCCATTTTGTATTCGAACTCTCTAAGTTGAGGTACTTGTGGTGGAGATGCTTTCGAATTAAAGCCATAGTTGCTCTTTGAAGGTGGTTTATCTTTTGGGTTGAGGAAAAAGTGCGCTCGCCACCGCATTCTTTTGATTAATTTTTCCGTCATTTCAATCAGTCGCTTGGAGTATTCTTGGTTAGCTGGAATCGGAATGTTTTTAGTGGAATAACTAAAATTGGTCTTCTCCATGTTGACATACGGAACTGAACAGTGCTCGACTTACGGAGCGAAGATAATATTGGTAGGTGGTTTCCTTTGTCATAAAAGTGCTCAACAAAAGGAGCTATATACAACGTTTAAGAAAGCTATTTACACATAAAAACTACAAATTTGTTTCGAAAGCACTCTAAAGTGAGTGCTCTCTCGTCAGGTCTAAAGTGTGCCAGCTAACTTCGGTCTTATTTATACTCCTTCGCTACACGTTCTTTAATAAAAGCTTTCCTCCGTGACGGCATTTGTTAGCAAGTTCATTTCGTAAGAGTTAATTACCGAGAACGAGGTTTCTTAGCGAGATACAACCCGAGGGGCGTGACCCGAATAAATCATCCCGAGGGCCGAAGGCCCGAGGGATGATTTATGAGGGCTACGCTCCCGAGGGATGTATCTCGCTAAGAAACCGATGTTCGAGGTAATTAACTAATTTAGTTCAAACTTGTAAGGATTTTACTAAGAATGATTGCTCCTTTGCTACGTGTAGTTGATTGAGCCTTACTAATTAGCGACTCAATGATAAATGTAAGCGTAAAGTAAATCGACAAGGCGAAACAAAGAAATGCAGTAAGTGGTGGGAGAAAAAACTTCAAGCATCGGTTAAGGCTACGGAAAAGAAATTTAAAGAAAATTACAAGTCACGCTTTGTGAATATCTTTTTGTTCGACCGCAGATTATCTATCTGTGTATCTGCATATGTTAAACACTTCTGGGAATATTTTGTCAATTAGACAGGACAATTGTTAATTTGGCTTTTGTTTTAATAGTACTCTAAATTTATACAAAAATTAGGTTAGACGTGTAGATAAGGATAATTTTCTGATAGCATGCATGGTAGAGTGAGCGGCATATGTTGATGGTTGGATGAACTATGAGCGACAGAAACAGCGACGAAGATCTAGATTTCTATATCACGCAAAGTGCTTTTAGGGAGGCAAAATCAGATGAAGATATAGATTTATTAAACGGAATTCTTTTTGGGGACGAGAGCTTAGATGAACAAAACAAACTTTCGCGAGTGCCCATAGCTGATGCAAAGATAACGAAGAGAGTCATAGTTTCCGATGCTACAAAAAAGAAATGCTGAGCGTATACCAGCAGCCACAAGGCACAACACTAACTGGGCTGTTCGTGCTTGGCAAGAGTGGGCACAAATACGAAATAGCGAAGGCACAAGAAGCAGCCAAGATTTGTACGGGTTTGTTGAACCGGACATTGTAAATTTGAACAACAACAATGAACTTAATTACTGGCTCGCAAAATTTGTAGTGGAAATACGAAACAAAAACCTTGCGGTGAACCATACCCTCCAAACACGTTGTACCAATTGTGCTGTGGCATACAACGTCACTTTAGAGAGAATGGCCGACCAGAGTTAAATTTATTTGACAACCCGTGCTTCAAAACGTTTCAAGATTCGTTAGACGCCGAGATGAAAAGGTTGACTGGCCAAGGCTACGGTGTTAACGTTAGAGAAGCACAGGCGTTTACAGAAGAGCAAGAAAACAAATTATGGGATATGAAATTACTCGGTGGCCAGTCTCCCCAAGTGCTTCTTGATACGATGATTTTTTTGATTGGGAGGAGTTTTGCATTACGAAGTGGAAAAGAGCACAGAAATCTACGATTTGAACAATTTACATTAATTGAAGCTAATGAAACGGAACCCGAGAAACTTGTGTTTAATTCGTTTGGTGAGAAGAACAACCAAGGTGGTCTGAAACATAGGTCAATGAAGAGAAAGAGAATTGAACATTACAGCAACTCCGATGTGCCACAAAGATGCTTGGTCAGTTTATATAAAACGTACGTTGCAAAATGTCCCACGGATGTTTCAGGATGTTTCTACCTAGCTCCGAAACGGAAGATTAACACGGAGGATAAAGGTAGGTTTTCGAATCTATTTATTTACAAGTAGTGTAACTTATCAAAATCTGTTGAATTTATTTAGTAACAAGCTTTTACTTTGTCTTTGCTGCAGAATGGTTTACACGCAATCCAGTGGGACATAACGTGTTAGGCAACACAGTTCGTAGATTGTGCCAAACTGCGGGTATTGAAGGTCATTTCACAAACCATAGTTTAAGGGCAACGACAGCAACAAGAGGTCTTATAAGAGGTGTACCAGAAAAGTTTATCATGGAGAGGACTGGACATCGGGATGTAAGGTCGTTGCAGAAATACGAAAGACCAGATATTTAAACAAAAATCGCAATTTCCAAATCTATGGATTGTGGCGTCAGAACAGGCGAGAAAACGAAAGTGAATAGTATGAATGAAGACCGAGTGCAGGATGTTCTTTTGAAGAGGAATACTACAGAGCAAGAGGAGCAGCTTGAAGATATGGAAAGAAAGAAGGCACGGATGGAAAACGGGGAGAGAAGTTGTTTTGATAAGTGTATTTTTAACTTTTTTTGAATTAACGTGTTTGACTTTGTGTGTTGAGAAAGATTGACTGAGAAAGTATGATAGTGTGGAACAACTGCTATATCAACAGATTAGTTGTAGTAATTAATTTTTTGTCGTGATTTAATTTTAGCGTGCGTAAAAAGGTGTAGGGTGTTGTTTTTTTTGCATCGGGTTTTATCTATATAAAACCTTACTTTTCTGGGGTTTATCTGTATAAAACCCAGAAAGCCGGGTTTTATATAGATAAAACCCGGTGAATATTTAATCATCAATTCAATTCTATTCATGAACCCCGCTTTTCCCTGAGGAGATATCAAATCCCTCCCCTTGCTTTAAGATTCTAACCGAAATAAAACCCTATTGACAACAATAGAAATCCGCAGAAATTTGAACTAAGTGTAAATAGCTTTCTTAAACGTTGTATATAGCTCCTTTTGTTGAGCACTTTTATGACAAAGGAAACCACCTACCATATATATCTATATATATATATAATTATATATATATATATATATATATATATTATATATATATATATATATATATATATATATATATATATATATAATATATGTTATTTGCCAGATTGGAGGTCCGTATAGGGAAATATTAAGACGCACAGATATGGAAGGGACTAGACTGAGTTCCGAAATATCAACTACTCGAACCGTCTTTACCTTAGTTGCTCAGTTGCAAGAGCATTGGACTAGCAAACACCAAAGGTCGCGGTTCGATTCCCACCGTGGTCAAGCTAATTTTTCAGCTTTCCTGGTTGGTGACTCAGAGAAGCAACATCACATATATATACATTATATATACATACCTGAGTCTTTGCATTATTACATTTCGAATATTAAAAAACAAACTCCGAATGGACAAGACATCTTGAGATCAATAATATGTGATTGAAAAAAGACAATAATTTAGCTTGTAGGTACACCACGTAAGTATTTAAGACTGCATGTATAATATTGCAGTATTAAATACTTACGTGGTGTATCTACAAGCTAAATTACTTATCGACTGTCACCATGCAAACATACAAGAATATTATAAAAAAGACAGTTAGACACAGGTCAGTGAGACTCAGAGACTGTAAATTTTCGAATTTATTTCAAAGTAATCTTCAGACAAAATTAAGGAAGATAACTGTGAAATAAAGTAGAAAATTTACAGTCTCAACCTTTTTAATCCTATATTATTGACAGTCAAGATGTCTTGTCTATTCGGAACTTTTTTTTTAATATCCGAATTCTGTTTATATATATATATAATTATATATATATATATATATATATATATATATACAGTCTTTATCATTAAGGTTGTCACCTGGAAATGTATATAAATACGTAAATATCGATCACGTGATTGTACTGCATACGTTAATTTTATGGGAAATCGTTGAAAATCTATATTCCAAATTTCTCAAATGTCATGCTAAAGTGAACAATATTGATAATAATAAAGAAACAAGAGGTAAGTGAGCAAAATAAGCCATGTTTAATGGTCACGTGATTGATATTTATATATTTGGGTATATATTGACATGGACAACCTTAATGATAACGACTGTATATATATATATAATTATATATATTATATATATATATATATATATATATATATATATATATATATAAATCTATTCCAAATAGACTTTTGTAGAACACAGAGTGCTCAATACATAGAATGCAGAGCGTGTTATAACAATTATAAATACAATTCTTTTAATTAGTTGCTACTTTAAGTTTCATGCACTTAAGCAATCATCAGGCAACGTACTAATGAAAACACGGTTAAATTGCGCGAGCTATTAGTTTGTTGACGCGTTTCAACGTTTGAAATATCCCGCGAGGAATTTGCGTGCGTGCACGCATTTTGTGAAAAGCTCACAGCGTTTGTTAAGTAAAAACTGTTTATTGTAATTCACAATTTGCAGTTTTTCCTCTGTGCATAGAGCGCAGTACTTTCCACCTGCTTTTATGGCGTGTGCTTGAGATAGGATGGACCATTTGATGTCGTAGTCTTTGCCACTTTGCATGTTTCAGCTTCCAAACGTATTTTGACAATTCAGTGCTGTTCTCGTATCTGATGTCGTTAAATGACTTCTTGTGGTTTCGGAAGCGTTCTTTGAAAGTTGTCGAGGTCATTCCGATATAACTTTTAGTTTGTTGGCTCTCCGCCGTAATCACATCAGCTTTATACACAATATTATTCATAAGACACTTGTTTTCTAATGGGCATTGATCAGGATTTCTGCAGTTACATTTCTTTTGGTTCCGGTTATTCTTTTCTTCAGTCCGATTTTTTCGCAAAACGTGTTTGTTATGTCTCGAAATCATGCTTTTCACGTTGTTTAGACAGCAGTAGCTAACTTTAACGGAGTTGCGGTTGAAAATTTTGTGAAGGATTGATGTTGGAGGAAAATGTTTATCGATGAGCTTAAGGAAATCTTTCCCAACATTCGTACGTACGTTTTTGCTGAATGGAGGATTGAACCAGATGATGTTTCTACCTCGCTTGCATCTTTTTGGTGTTGATAATGGTGCATATGGTTGTGTTGATTCTTTGTGGTAACGAACGTCGACATTATAGTTGCTTTCCTTCAGAGCTTTGTTGTAGATAGCGGCAACCGAGTTAAATGCTTGTTGGTTGGATGACAGTGATGAAATCCTTCGACTGATGGATGAAGGTAGTTGTTTGGTAATACACGGGGGATGATTCGACTTTTTATGGATATACAGCGGGTCGTTGTTTGGCTTTCGGAAGGGCTTGAAACACTCAGTTTTGAGGTTCAGAGTAACGTCGAGAAAATTAACGGTTTGGTGGTTGACTTCGGCAGTGATTTTAAGTCCGAATTCTTGGAAGGCCGCGCAGAGATCCTTTCTTGCTTTATCTGCTAGACGTCCATTGTTGCTTTTAATTAAAGCTAGCCCGTCATCTCTGTATAATCCGATATTATTCTTTCCGAATTTTGAACTGAGGGAATTTAGTGCAAAAAGACCAACTAATTCGCAAATTTCTGCTCCGTCATAACTGCCCATAGTAACGTCAAATGTTGAGTTGCTATTTCTTTTTATCCATGGTTTGCTTTCATTGAATAGGACGGATTTGCGAGCATGCTTAATGATGTTGATATTTTCGTCAGAAATATTGACCATAGTTTTGGCCCATGAAATAGCTTGGTCGAGAAGATCTTCACTGATTGATGGGTAAAAGTCAACAACATCAAAGGAGACAAAACTATACCTAGATTTATGTTCGATGTTATTGAACCAATTAATGACTGCTTGTGAATTTTTCCACTGGTTTACAGCGATGATCGATCTTATTTCATTGTTGATGCAGTCCAATATAACTTTGCTCACCTTTCCAAGTTCACTTTTAGCGGGGTTGATTAGTCGACATTTAGGTTTTGAATCAAAGTTGTCCTTGTGGTCTTTTAATGTGATGAAAGCATCTTTTTCAGCCATAACATTTACGCGGTTACCAATTTTAAGGTCGAGGGTATATTTATAATTGTTATATATATATATATATAAATAAATATATATATATATATATATATATATATATATATATATATATATATATATGTATATAAATACAGTCGTTATCAAAAAGGTTGTCATATTGAAATATATATAAATACGTAAATATACGTCACGTGATTTTACTGCATACGTTAATATAATGGGAAATCCATGAAAATCTTTTTTAAATATTTCATATATATAATAGTAAGGTTATCAATATTGATAATAATAAAGAAACAAGACAAAAATGAGCGAAATAAACAATGTTCATTTTTGTCAATTACGTGATTGATATTTATATATTTCTATATATATTGATAGGGACAACCTTTTTGATAACGACTGTAGAATATATATATATATATATATATATATATATATATATATATATATATATATATATATATATATATAATTTTATATATCATTTTATATAGTCTTTGTGCTTGTTTGGATTTTTGTTGTGTTTTTTGTTCTTCTCTATGGCACAAAATTGAAAGTAAAGGCAGTGGCGTAGCCAGCCTGACGATTTAGTCATGCTATGCAAATTTTCTGTTATTACCATTATTCATTTCTTTAGAAATTCATTGTTTTCTCAGTTAATGAACACCAAAATATTAGCATAGCATGACCAAATTGTCGGGCTGGCTACGCCACTGAGTAAAGGTACACTATAAATCTTCTTAAAAATTATGTGTTATTATAATTATTCGCGTGTGCTTGCGTTTTTGTTTTCTTCAAGATTCGGTCCTTTTTTGGTCGAGTCGCGCCTATTTTGTCGCGGCTCGCGAAGTGCGCCAATTTGACTGTCTCGCCTAAATCGTTGTCTTCGCGTAATTTTAGAACAATGTTGTTTAAAGGAAAATACGAACAACACCATGCAAATACACCTATTAAATACTTTGCCTTGCCCTGTGTAACTTACTCAGAGTAACCACACAGTACAATTGAATGTCTGGTCAGGGTTTAATAAGATTTTAAAAGGAAGAATCTGTCGACCACTGGGCGTCGTATGTATAATGGTGCTTGTTGAATTGCAGCTTTCGTTAATTTTGTTAACAATAAAATTTCATGTTCAATATATTCCTTTACAGATAATCTGTCTACTTTACTGGAAAAATAAACAGAAATGACTAAAATGGCTTTCGTTTCAACCAAAATGTTGTTTGCTTTAACGATCTTGATATACTTTGGTGGAAATCTGATCAATTGCAATGAAGATATTCCTATTTGTGGCAAGCAATTAAAACAACTGAAAGAAGACGTGGAAAACTGGGAAAAGAGACGTGTGAAACAAAGACTGCGAAACTGGGATGATGAAATTGAACGATATTTTACTGAAAGTCAAGGATCTCCCAATGAGCGTCGACGTGAGGATAATTCCGCTGGTTGCGCGGCAGAAAAAGAATATCTCCAGGAGAGAATGCGTATGCACTCAGAGATGTGCTTCTATGACGGTAAGCTAAGCGA